AACAAAGGAACCAAGAGAGCCCGTGTTTTTTTAATAAATAAATAAATAAGGAAAGCTGGCCACCCTTCTCCTAGAAACAATTAAAAGAATAAGGACCCGATTACTTATTTTTACTTTTATTAATATGTAACCATGCAAACTGAGCATAAAATGCTGCCATCGTGGTTCAGTCCTAAAAACGTCACAAGCTATGCCATGACTGATGATCTCCACATGTGACTTGGAGCTCTGGACAGCCTACCATACTTCAGATGTTTAGAGGAGGATGCTACTCCTTGTCAGAGTTTTACACAAATGTAGAAAAATGTTTCAGGCTGTCTCATTAAAAAAAAAACAAAACCAAAACACAAAACATAAAACCCAGCAGAACACACAGATACATTCAAATGTTAATTCTTCCTTTTGAGCTTTTTCTCCCTTCTGGGTAGGGCTACCTGAATGACTGATAAATACTGAAAGTAAACAAAAATGTTCGGGCTTTTTCTGACTGATAGTATAATTAAAAAAACCCCAACAAAACCCTAACAGAACATATCAGCTGACCTAAAATGGAATATTCTCTATTTGGAAATAATCAGCATACAGTAAAGGAAATAACGGTATATATTGCAAAGGGTGGAGGTAGTATAATAATAACAACATCCTTTCTTTATTCAGTAGACCGTGACTTGGGACACATATCCAGAATGTGGCAGACTGGGATTTAACCCCTGACTCAAAAGACATTAAAGCTTGTCATTCCCATTGGCAGTGTGGCATTTCCTTTTATATATTAGAATAGTCAGCAATCCAGAGAGGATACAGGCAAGAATGATACTCTGTGCTTCCTGAAAACATAGATTCAAATCCACGGCGGAGTATGGAATCTGTTCTGGATTTTTCATATAGCAGGTAGGTGCTCAGTTATTGGATAAAATGGGACATCCGCCATACTGAGGCACATTTAGGAAAACCAATGTAATTTGTTAAAAATATCTTTTTCTTTTTTTTTTTTTTTAGCAGACCAGTAATTACCTGCAATTGTCTATCTCTGCCTTTTGCTCTGTTTCACATCCAGAGACACCCTTCTTCGTTTTCAGAAGCACACACTGTAAGGATATGTGGAATAACCATTTTTTTCTGAGGGTATCTGATTAACAGCTGTTGAACGTACAAGAACTGGACAACAGACAGGACAAGTAATCAAGCCCCAGATACACAAACCCAGGAGATCACGGAGACAGTACCAAAGACCAGAAATCTCAGGCGGGTGATGGACCGTTGAGGGAACCACTCAAAAGTCTTGAGGAGATTCAGCTGGAACTTTCTAATGGATGAGGGGGAAGGAAGGTTATCACAAGTCTCTCAGGAATGAGCAAACTCACGACGGGATATTTTTGAGCGTTTGCGCAAAATGCATTACAGGGTATTTAGGGGAAAGGCCAAAGATGGGGAAAGGGTGGGATGAAGGTACATTGAGGACGAACAAGCACAGGAAAAGAGAGGCAGTGCCAACAACAGGGGCCAGTAGTGTGAAGAAAACAAGCTGCTGGTCAGCAGAGTTGCCCAGCCAGGTGCCAGTCCCGCTCCCG